TGTTGGAAGAGGGGAAACATCTAAAACATGCGGGATTGGACACCCCTGATCTAAGTCTATCTATGTCACATGTTTTGATGATACTATTATGGAAAATGGGGAGTTATAGTTATTGAGTCACTGTTACATCTGAGAAGCTGGAACCAGAAACAAGTGAAGAGTTCATTTGCAGAAACATAACTCCATCTGCACAAACCTTCAGAAAACCCACTTTTTCATCGTCTACCTGAGACAACATCAGACTTCATCTATCTCTATTTTTGTCAAATCAAATCCACTCAGCTTCAGTTTGGTTGATTTTATTTCAAGCAAACAACAAAAAAAAAGTCTTCTGAAAATCTACAAAAATGCAGTTATCTGTTTTTACAAATTAACTCTTCAAGTGTGGAGACCACCAAGACCGTTGTGATGAACAAAGTGGTACAAACATCTCAAGGCAAACACTCCAACAAACACTGCACAACTGATCTCCATTGAAAACGTCCAAGGAAGACTCCACTTCTTCACTACCAACATCCTCCAATACATCCAAAACTCTGCCGCCCGCCTCCTCACCCACACCGAGACCACATCACCCCTGTTCTTCAAAACCTTCACTGGCTTCCCATCCCATACCGATCAACTTCAAAATCGTTCTACTCACCCACAAAGCGCTCCATAATCAGGCCTCCTCTTACCTCAAACACATGCTCCTTTTTATTTATTTATTTTTTAATCTACTTGCTGTATTTCTATATTGTCTACCTTTGTATTTGTTGCTTGTTGTTTATTGCTTTTACTGCTTTTTTGCTTTTATCCTGTGAAGGGAGTTCTTGAAAAGAGTTACACAAATAAAATGAATTGTTATTATTCTCTCAGACAGACATACAAATGCTGACTGGACAAAGAAGAACACTTTTGGTCATCAGTTCAGTAGTTAGATGGGACAGAAGTGGAGTTGTTTGGACACAGGGACGGATTTGGTTCTTGTTTGGTGAAAGAAAGCAGAAGCACCCAAAAACTCATCCTCAAGGTCAAGTGCTTCATTGGGAATGTGTTGCTTTGGGGGTGTTTTTAGGTGATGCGCCAGCGAGCCTTGTCAAGGTTTAATGATATACGAGGACTACACGAAGATTCAGGAGGAAAACATAAAGCAGTCAAACTTGGCTTTGGCAGCACTGAACCTTCCAACAAGACCTGAAACATACAGAAACGGTTAATAGAAAACTGACCGTTGGCACTTGAGCATGTTGGAGGAACCCAGCCAGAGTCCAGACCTGAATCCCATCAGGAATCTGTAGAGGGAACTGAAGACCAGAGCGATGCCACGGAAGCCGTCGTGGAGATCGCCGCGAAGAGGAGTGGTCTGAAATCCCAGAGGAGTGGTCTGAAATCCCAGAGGAGACATAATGAGAACTTGTTCGCAACTACAAGAGCTGTTTTACTGCTGTGGTGGCCAATAAAGGCTGTAATGTTAATTACCAAGAGATTAATCTGAGCTGCTGTTAACCTGCGATTTCTGAGGCTGGTGACTCGGATGAACTGATCCTCTGCAGCAGAGGTGACTCTTGGTCTTCCTTTCCTGGGCCGGTCCTCATGTGAGCCAGTTTCTTTGCAGCGCTTGATGGTTTTTGCGACTGCACTTGGGGACACTTGCAAAGTTTTCCCAGTTTTTGGGACTGACTGACCTTCATTTCTTAAAGTAATGATGGCCACTTGTGTTTCTTTATTTAGCTGCTTTTTTCTTGCCATAATACAAATTCTAACAGTCTGTTCAGTAGGACTATCAGCTGTGTGTCCACCTGACTTCTGCACAACACAACTGATGGGCCCAACCCCATTTATAAGGCCAGACATCCCACTTATTAAACCTGATGAGGCACACCTGTGAAGTGAAAACCACTTCAGGTGACGACCTCTTGAAGCTCATCAAGAGAACGCAGAGTGTGTGTGAAGCAGTAATCACAGCAAAAGGCGGCTACTTTGAAGAACCTACAATATAAGACATGTTTTCAGTTGTTTTACACTTTTTTGTTAAGTACATAATTCCACATGTGTTCATTCATAGTTTTGATGCCTTCAGTGTGAATCTACTTCAATAGTCATGAAAAGAAGGAAACTCACTGAATGAGAAGCTGTGTCCAAACATTTGGTCTGTACTGTATATTTTCACACATGGTAGGCAACTTAAAGTACTAAAACTAATTTTAAGATAACACATTTGTATTATTTCCGAGAAAGGAACAAACTACACTCACCTTTTCGGGCGCCATATTTGTTTTTGGAGGCATAAGACAGTGAGGAGCACAGGTCTGTTTCCTGTCTGTACAATCAATGAATTATGTCCAAAACTAAGAGAAAATCGTTTTTTTCTCCCCCTGCCGACAAACTCCCTTCTTCATACCCACACAATAGTTCTCCGAAGCCGACGCACGGGGGCGCCACTTCCTCCCTGAACTTGTTTACCTCGCCTCTCCGCCGTCTGCTCCACGCGCCCTAGCAACTGCAGCATCAGCACGAGCAGCGCAGCGTTGGTGCGCTACGTCACAGCGCTCTGTGGGCTGCGTCAAGTCAGCGAGGACGGCAACGGAAACACAACGGCTTGCTTTCAAAATAAAACGTCACTGAGCGGCGCGTGTGGCAACATAATGCAGTTAATGTTTACTGCTGGCTGCTTGAACATTATTTACCTGTGTTGTGATGCCAGTTTACAAAACGTGCCCAAATAAGATCTTTTTGACTTGAATAGAGGTAATAACCTTGAAGAGGCCCCAATTATCTTCCATCATTTTATCCTGTACCTCCTAATTTCTTATCTGTTTAGTTGTAAAACACTACCTGATCCTAAAGCTGCTGTTGGTCTCCACCAGTCAGTGCATTCAACTAAGAATATGCAACATGTAAACACATAACTGAAATATTAATGTTCATACTGTCTTTAAGATCAGATATTGAGCAGAAGACACTTTGAGGCTCTCGTGATATCAGCTGATATTGTTCTTTGGAGGTGCATTCAAATTTCTAGCTAAGGTACCAGCTGATTTATGGAAACCTTTGGTCGGATCAGCTGTTGTTATCCACTGCAGGACACAACTGAGTAAATACTTTACTTTGACAGCACCAACCGGAAGTAGCATTATGTATGCCCGCTCGCTTCACACTGGTCCTCTCTCCTGTCGTTTCAGCCGAGGCTAGCCCAGCATCACCGCCTTCTTCTTTCTATCCCTTCTCTGTTTTTTTGTCCCTCTGTTATTTTTTTCTGTCGTTTTCCGACACTCCGCGAACTTCACCAGGTGCACAACATCCTCCTCTGTTTATCCTCTGCTCATTTTTTTTTTCCTTCGACCAAAAAAAAAAAAGAAGAAGAAAGAAAGGCGTTTCGGTAGCCGCTGGAGCTGGCGTGTCGCATCAACCGGGACAGAAAAACATCCATCCGCGACGCCGAGGAGGAGGCAGGGTGCGAACACAGCAACGCCCCATTTTGACACATACTGTACCCGCGTTTCTGTATCTCCTCGATGTCTGCTGATTCCGTCAGAGAGGGCTTTCCTCGCCCGTAGCCTGCACCCTGGTCACTCTGCGCTGCCTTTTTTTCCCTCTCTAGCATCTTCGAGTAGCGGCAGACACCGACAGGGGCTGGGCTGCTCAGGAGCTCCATGCCCCTCTGCATGCAGCGCACCTACATCACGGTTCTGCAGGTGAGCGTGTTTTTTTTCTCCACATGCACACATCCAACCACAGCATCGTGAGTGTGAGTGATGCTGAGTGGATCTACTAGTAAACTGTGGAGTGTGTTGTGGTGGTGGTGGTGGTGTATGTGGGGAGGGGTTGCATTGCGAGTAAACAACATTGCATTGCACCGTGCAGGCTTTTGCATGATGATCTGACATGCAGGGAGGTTTTTGTCATCAATCAAAGTCTAGTATTTATCAGGACCAGTGTGCAGTCAGGAATTCCTGCTCCCCAAAGTGTGCATTCTAAACACTGTCTTTTGAAGTATAAAATCTAGCAATGTGCATTCAGCATAGACTGCAGGAAGACACTCTGACAACAACAGCTGGAATGCTTTATTAATTTGTGGATGACAGAAACTTAAATGGCACACATTTTCATATTTGTTCAAGTGCCAGATAAACCAAATCTCTGGAGTCTTTGCTGGTTTCCAAAGTGTTAGAATCGTGAGCCGTGTGTTACGAACTAGATGTTCATATATATAAGTTATAAGTTGAACGCTTCAGTTTGGCTTTAAAATATTGTGAATGTGATTTTTTTTTCATACACCGAATGATTAATGCAGAAAGTAATATATTTAGAGCCAATGTTATTGCTTTGAGTGCACGCTGACTGTCACCTCTGACCCTGAGCAGATCATTAAAGTCCATCTCTTGTTGCAGGATTGTCTTGTTTAAAGTGACTTCTGGTGATTGAAGTGTAGGTTGAGTTCTCAGGTTCTGTCAAGTCGTGTCTGAATATTGGCAAAGCATCTTGTGATGGCAGCAGGCAGAGCTTCTCTGCTACTATTCCTGCTGCCTCTACTACTACCAGTGCTGTCAGCTCTCAGCACACGGTACGGGTCGCTGATTTGTGAGCACAGACTAAGAAAAAGCAGCAGTCAAAGTAAAGCAGGCTAAGCATTTTCCCAGCAGAGCACACACACACACACACACACACACACACACACATGCACAGACACAAACAAACAAGTCCTGCTGTGTGTTAATGAAGATCAGTCAGTCCCCCCGTTCCCTAGCAACAGCGATGTGCGCTGGTCAAGGCCCCTGCCAAATTTAGCTCCGGGACCTGCACTGCCAGTCAATGCCGTGTGTTTGTATGTAGGGATACGTGTTGCATCCAGGCCCTATTTGGAGCGTAAACGCTGAGAAATCGATGAATTCTGCCTGCAAGGTGCTTCGCGGGATGACTTCATCCTGCAAGGTGCAACAAAACCGAGTGTGTAGTGTGTGTGTGTGTGTGCCTCGTTGATGCTGCGCTGTTTAACTGGTTTGACAGACGAGCATCCTGTGCAATTTGATTATCAAAATGAATTCTTTTGTTTGATATAGCCCTTTACTTTACACTGCAAAGAGCACCAGTTTGACAAATAAACACAATTTGTGACACAATATGGAGAAAAAACGAATTCTTGTTGTGAATTAGAGATGATTACACTTTGGGGCATCGTGTCAGACATATGTTCTTGTTCCTTACAGTATTAGGACTGAAAATTTGATCGAAATATTATTGAAGATGCAATAATACACAATATATGTAAATCACAACAGCTGCAGTTGTTTGATGAAGCCAAAATGTCTTTATAAATGAAGCACTGTGGTGCTCCAGAGCCTGTAAATGCCCTCCAGACTAGGCATCAGCCAATTATGAAGCTAGCTGATCATGTGACAGATTACAGGTATCATTATTTTTTCTTTAAACAATTCCAGATAAAATCATTCATTTAAAAATGTGCTGCTTTAGCTGATGTAGACAGATCTCTGTATTGTGTTTTGTGCAACGTGCCGTCCACAGCAGCAGCCAAATGTTGAAAAATGATCTTTAAATGACCTGCATGTCAAATATAAATAAACAAAGGCATTTCAGCAAAGACCATCATGGCAGTCTTGAGTTTCCACTGGCTTCTCCTGCTCTTATTTTCTGTGATGGAATGATTTAAAAACATGCATCTTTGTCACAAAAAACACAATCATGTCTTTCGTTTCTTTCATAAGTTTATTACAGATCTGGAAATAAAAAAAGAAAAAATGTGCTGGGTCAAAACCATACATCCAGAAACTTTAATTATCAGTTTGACATCACCACAGGTTGAAGAAAACAGATCCTTAAAGCTCCACTGAAGTTTGCTGCTGATCACATTGGACTCATATTTGTTAAAGGATTTGTTTTGTTGCATGTATTTCAGTCTTAATTGGTTCTGCTACATAACTGACATTACTGAAAGTGTTCTGACTCATCACGGCGATAGCAGAGGTCCAATCTTATCAAAAGCTTTATCTTGTTAAAAGTATGAATTTAGTCCATTCATTTGGAAGAAGAAAAGCAGATACAACAAACGCACTTCGGGCCTTTAAAAGACATTAAAACTGCTTCAGTTTTACACAGGAAACAGATCGACACTTGTTTTGATGACTGATTCACTTCAGGAGGATTTTCTCAGTTATTTAAATCTTCGATCGGACGTTAAACTTTGCTGCCTCTTGCAGTACAAAGACTCTCAGGTATCAGTGGACCGATGCAAAACATGCTGCTGCAGCTCTGAATCAGGGTCAGTTGGGCAGAAGCTACCTGCCCTCGCTGCCCTCGCTGCCCTCCTCTCCGCTTTAAGCTGTTTTAATGCCATTAACGCGGGTCTGTGTGAGCCTTAGCTCCGCTCTGACCAGCACGGGACGGATTATCATCAGCCTGACAAGACACAAACACACACAGACCTAGACAGACAGAGCAAGGCGGCCATGAGCTTATCCTGCAGGCCAGCTGTGTGTCTGTTGATTTGTTGGTGTGTTTACTCCGTGTTGACAAATAACCAGGCAGCGCTGGCTCGTCTTAACTCTGCTCTCTCTCCTCCTCAGACTGCCTCTGTGGCCTTAACCTCCCTCACCCCTCTGTGGTCCTCCTCCACGTTCTCCGGCATCCCCCTCTTCCCCCTCTGAGCGCTCAGCTCCTCATTCTCCTCTCGGGCTCCCGCCATCGCGTCCAGCTGTGGCCCTCACAGGGCGCGCTCGCTGGCTCTCACCTGCCAGGTCCCTGGCCTCAGGACGACAGCCAGCAACAACACATTCCCTACATGAGGGACAAAGCGACGCAGGTGAGTGCAGCGACGCGTCTCAGCGTGTGTGTGGGGATGAGTTGGAAGATGCATGAATTTAGATTTGATTATATGTACCTTCCAAAAGTTAAACACATGACGTACAAATATTGAACATTGCTGCAAATTCAAACTGTTTAATCTGTCATGGCATAAAAAAAACTACAAAATCAAGAACAGCAGCCTTTTAAAAGTTATTGTGCAGCAAAGACATCCTCATGGGACTGAATGTACGAGATTCTCTGTCGATCGATCCGTCAGTTGTTGAGATCTTATATTCTGACTGACAGACCAAAACTGCAGTCAGTGAGGCCGTGATGATACCAGAACCATACCCAGACAGTTTCTTTGAACTAGTCTGTAGAAGCAAATGAACCAAAGTTAGCTTCTCTGATCAAAATGTAAGAGTGACATTACTGCATAATCTGCACACATGATGAGACGGAGTGTGTTGGACGCATTATGTAAATGAGGTACATGAAGCACAAACAAGAGGCCCAAGGATGGAGCCTTGGGGAACACCACGTTTTGATTATGTTTGTGAGAACCCAGAATTGCAATTTGTTCTTCTCTGTTGGAAATATACAGATGTTTTGCTCTGTCTTACATAACGCCACCGTTCAGGTGATTAAATATCATAAGAATAAGTGTTTGCTTTAAACAAGCCAGACTGAAGTCTTGCAGCATTTATGTACATTTATGAAGCAGGCGATCGGTTCAAGAAGGTTAAGAGAGGTTGCCGGCTGTTGCATCATCATGCTGCGCTGCACATCACTGTGATGACTTCGAACAAGACTCAGATCAGACCTGCAAGATGTTTCCACCAGAGTGGACAAACAGATGTTTTAAAATCTTAAATTTGTTTTTAATGCAAGAAATGTTCTTGTCATACATTCATGTTGTAATAATTCATGACGTCACAGTCCTGTTAAAGAGCACTGCGTCGACTGGTGCTTTTTTAGCTGAGATATTTAGTTTTTGTTGATGTTGTGAAAACGTTCATCATTCCTGATGTCATCATAAAGTCATCGTGGCTGGTGGTGGACTGGACAGACTACACGTCTAAATGTTTGCACCTTCTTATGTTTGTTGGGGACAAAATGTTAGGACGTGTACAGATTTGCATCTTATCACTGCTTTGAAAATGTATTTTATTCATAGTCTAATTATTTTAATTTTTATTGCACAAACACTTTAAGAGTCTGTCGTCCTGCAATTAACTCAAAATAACAACTCTGACTCTTGAATGAATGCATGGCAGCGCGATTGGTCAGCAGACAGGAGTGGCAATGAGTCGCTTTTCTGTTATTTCTGACCATTTAATAAACAGCAGTGACTATTATGAGTAAATGAAATTCACAATTTTTCATTTCAATTGTTTAAGAAATTGAATTTGCGTTTTTATTTTTCTTTGGCGCTGGCTAAAGCCTGTTTGGGTCGTTTTGCTCTGTGCAGGAAAAACTGTATAAGATTATGTTTTTTGCTTACAATGTGTGTGTGTGTGTGTGTGTGTGTGTGTGTGTGTGTGTGTCAGACCCCCAGGGCCTGGGCAGATGAGAGGAGGAGGGGCTCTCACAAACGCTCGGCCTCCTGTGGGAGCACCGACCAGCTCAAGGAGGTCCGTTTCTTTCCCCATTTTGTGCCTAAATAAACTGCAGAACGTTGCTTTTTGAGCATTGTGAGGAAGTTTTCACTGGACGTGCCTCCGTTAATGTTTGTATGTATCTACATATCATCTCCAGATTGCCAAATTGCGTCAGCAGCTTCAGCGCAGCAAACGCAGCAGCCGCCATCGGAGGGACAAAGAGCGCAAATCCCCATTCAATGGCAGCCACACCATCATCCAGTCGCAGGTGATCAATAGAGACGGTGTTCTGGAGGGAGTGTGTGTCGGAGAGGAACTAGGTTGGGTCCCTGATCTGGAGAGTTTTGAGGACGTCCCACTTTTCCATGTGTCCTTGTTTAGCGCTTGCTTGCATGTATGTCTCCAGATAGTTTGAAATGAGAGGTGGGCTCTGTGCAGTTGAACTGGGCTCTTTCTGTGCTGCTGGTACATTTACTGTCAGTTGCCTCTGCTGTCACGCCGCTGTGTGTGACGGTGGCGGTGGCAGGGCCAGTAATACGCTCCCTGTGGAGTCTGCTGGAGTGCAGCTGTCCTTCTTTCTGGACCTCCTCGTTAGACAAAGAGAACGAAGGGCTGCCTGAGATATCATGCAACTTTACTCACAATGCCTTTGACATGTTCATTCAGTGTGAGAAAGAACCCCAGCCAGCACACACACACTTACATGCACAAAGTAAGATCAGAGAGAGGTCCCCCCTCTCCTCAACACGTCATCGATTGTAAAGAAACAGCTATTTTCATTTTTAAAACAAGGCCTGTAGCTTTAGCTCACATTTGTATTTGTCATTACTGCTGTGCAAAACAAGCCTTTTGAATAGCAGACAGCCCCTCTGTCACCTGAGCCTCAGCAGAAACTCTCCAGCCCTCGGAATCAACCAGATCATCGATGACTGTATATTTTAAAGGACATTCATAGAAAAACAGGGTTTAATCCGTACGGTTCAGCTGTGTTCAGTGTGTAACCTCAGCAGAACAGTTACTTCCTGTGCCCCCTCCCCTATGAGATGCAGAAACCTTTTCAATACGCAGAGTTTTAAGGTCGAGGTGGATCCATGATTTACATACAATCCAGATCATCAGTGTGAAATATGCTCAGACTTACAAACTCGTTTAGTTTGGCCAACAGACAGCAGCAACATCTCACAGTGTAAATGATGTGAGTGCTGTTAGAATGAAGTCAGAGCTGCCTCAATACTGCAGCAGTAGGTTTGTATTTGTCTGCATGCATTCTTCCTGTACTATTGACTTAATGCCTCCAAGATCTGTGGAACGTAGGTCAGTTCTTCAAGTGCAGCGGCCAAGTTCTTAGGTTTTTTATTGACATATTTTCTCCCTGTTGCAGCAGTTACAAGCCACGACAACTAAATCTAAGTCAAAGGGCGACAAGCAGGAACAGAATCTATGTTAAATGTAGAGTTGTTTGTTTTTGCAGTCGCCTATGCCCAAGACCATCCTGATCCCCATCCCTATATCCAAGTCATCGGCCCCTCGGTTCCGCAACAGCGTCGAGGGCCTCAACCAGGAGATTGAACGCATCATCATCCGAGACACCCCGGAGAAGGATGAGACCATCGTTGTGAGTTAAACCCGATGAGAGATTAATGTGCTGTTAGATGTTCCCTCACCATGCTTTGTTCCACGCTCAATTAACATTCAAGGTTTTTTAGAGATTGGGGGATTAAGGCAGCAATGTTATCCTGACCTCGTTTGTGTGTGTGTGTGTGTGTGTGTGTGTGCAACAGCCACAGGATGTCCCAGATGGACATCGTGCACCCCCGCCCGTCCCCCCACAGCGCAGCAGCAGCACCCGCAGCATCGACACACAAACTCCCTCGGGGGGCGGCCTGAGTGGTAACCATAGCAACTGCAGTAGCCGTCCCGACTCCATCTCACCCTCCTACCTCACCGTCCTCAATGACACGGGTGGAGGCAGCCCCTATGAGGACAAAGGTGACTAACACACACACACACACAGTTTTGTGTTGGACGCACAGCCAGGCACCTGCCGGCGTCCGGCTGAGCTCGATGCTTCGCTAACCTCCCGCCCTGTCCATCCTCAGAGCTGGGCCCCTGCTCCCCGCTGCCAAAATACGCCGCCTCTCCCAGACCCAACAACAGCTACATGTTCAAGAGAGAACCTCCAGAGGGCTGCGAGAAGGTCAAAGTGTTCGAGGAGTCCATGTGGGTAGAAAAACACTTTCAAGGCTAACTACCTTCAAATAACTATTTTATCTTGGATTTACATCAGGACTGCCGTGATGTACTCGGCAAACCTTTGGCCACAGCTGTAGATATATTACTTTACCTATGTGCATGTAAACAGAGCAGGTTGGAGACTGCTTGGTGAGGGCAGGACAACTTTAGCTGCTAAAGAGACAGATATTCTTCATGAGTTGGTGAAGATGAAAAATTTTGCTAAATCTGAAAAATACTGGACTTAAAGGACATAAACTGTCACCACCACTCCTAATCAATGAGGATGATCTGTGTCTTCTTGTCCGAAAAAATTCAATGAACGGACATTTCAATTCAATTTAGTCAAAACTTTGTGATTAAATTATATGTTTGCGAGTTGCCTGTAAACATTTACATCTTCAGTATGAACCAATGAGCTTGAATCTTCTTTTATGGAACAATAAGAAACATTTTGATAATTACCAGCTGAGGACTTGGTTAACGTTTTCCTGCCATAATTATATTATCAGTTTTTATTATCAACACATCTTTTGCTGCAAAGTGTAATAAACAGGATTCCCTGTGAAGGCTAACGGTGTGTCTGCTTGTGTCTCCAGGCCCAAACCTCTGCAGGAGATCCCTCCCTTCCTGTGTCCTGACCGCAACAAGGTCAACTTCATCCCCAACAGTGGCTCTGCCTTCTGCCTCGTCAGCATCCTCAAGCCCTTACTCCCCGCCCCGGACCTCAACTTTCGCCCCGGGGTGGGCCTCCGAAGCCTGTCCCCATCCCTCGTGCCTCTGTCCACCCAGCCCTGCCTCTTGGAGGAGCCTGAGAGCTTCTGATGGCCCCCGTGGCCTTTAAGTCAACATGCCCCCGCCCCCCCCACCCCCTCAAACAACCAACGAAATCAGAAAGCATTTGAGGAATCAACCCTTTTGCTCCAAAAAAAAAAAATGCCTTCAGCATGCCAGCTAAGCTCTCTCTGATGTCCTTATCTTCTTCAAAAAGCGCTTCCCACTGCCTCTCCTCCTCAGACGATTACAACGTGAGAGTCCTGCAGCCCTGAGCAGGTGTTAGCAGCTAACATTTCATCGCTTTCTCCTAACTTTAGTGCTGGTTATGTTCGTGTTTATTGGGAGGAAAAGGGCGAAAGGACTGACTCTTTTATTTCATCGTATTATACCATGGCGCCTTTCCACGGACATATCTCTTTTTCTATCTGTAGTTATTTCTCTTGATATAAAAAAAAATGCCTTCCATTACGAAAAAAAAAAAAAAAGGCTGCTGGTTTCCTTGGCGACCACGAGATTGACCACGGAGGCTAATTCTGGTGCTGCCAAATATATCGTAGCAAAACTTGAAGGGTCGTTGAAAAGGAGAAGTATAAAATGTGCCTGATATTTTAGACCGCTCCGTTTCCCTGAACCGGCATAGTGCTCTGATCGTGTCTGATCGTTGCCATGGCGCGTGATCTTTGCACTATGGCGGCGATAGGTACATACAGAAAGGCAAGGCCAGGCAGGAAAAAACACAACTCACTTTTCCAAACAGTATGTATTCAGACCAGCTGTGACATCCAGACGTCTGTTTTATACTTTTATTAGCTATTTGCCATGACTGTAAACAAGCTGATGCCTTCGTTACTGTACCTGGTAGCAGTGATCTGGCCCCCTGCCGGGAAGTGTGTACCTATGGGAAACACAGGCCAGGGCTATGATGTGTGCAGCGTGTTCAACCTGTGTCTGCTTGCCCCCTCCTTCCCAAGCGCCAGCCTTTGCTCACAGCATCCTTTTTACTCCACCACTATCACAGTCACCCCCCACATGTTCCTTCTTTCTCCCCGTTTCTTTCCCTCACTGTCACTCTGACGCTGATTTCCTTCTGTCTTGCTCAGCTTGTGTTGTTGTGAAATGCATCCAGAGGGGACCCGTGTCCTCGGTGGACGGGCTCCTTCTGGCTGGCCAGGGCCGGAACATGGAGAGGTCAGTGAGTCCAAGTGCTGCACTGCAGATCAGTAGAGTAGATCCAAATTCTATACAACCAACCTACCACTGGAAGCTCCTTTATTAAAAATCCCAAGTGGATTGATATTATTATTATTATTTTTTTGAATTGCCACCTAATAAATGTACAGGTCATTTAGACAAACATTGCGAAGAAGTTTAAGTCCTGAAAACCTGTTTTCCTCTAAAACCTTAAAGGTGCTCCAATCAGTATTTTTGTATGAACAAGGGATGAGATGAGAATGTGAAAGACGGTGCTTCTAGTTATGAACTTTGCAATTCTCTGCAGTATTTTTTAGTCATTTCCAGGTCATTGTTTAGGTGTTATTGCCCTCCACCTTTACTGTCTTGATTTAGAGCAGGTGTTTTCAGTTTTTAAAAAAAAGCCACTGTGTCCAACCTGCCTGGCACCGTATAGCAGACAGGCACAGACAGAAACTAGCTGGTGGATGCAGCAGAGCAGAGATCTCCAGCTCTGGTCCTCGTTAGCTGCTGTCCTGCAGGTTTTAGATGTTTGCAACACACCTGACTCAGATTGATGGATCTCCAACAGCTTGTTGTCAAGTTCTACACAAGTCTGTTAACGATCCATTGATGTGAGTCAGGTGTGTTGCAGAAACATCTAAAACCTGCAGGACAGCAGCTCACGAGGACCAGAGCTGGAGATCCCTGCAGCAGAGCATGTAGTGGCTGAAGAAGCAGATATTTCTCTCAGGAGGCAGTAGAGACCAAAGAGAGTGGAAAAATACATGATTGTTGTTTCTGCTGCCCCCAAGTGGGCACATTTTAATGCAATCAACACTGAAAGCTAAAGGTGTAAAAAAAATTAATTAAATTACTTTTCATCACTTCAGCGACAAAGTTAAAAATACAGAAATCTCACATGTGGAAAGATGAAAACCTGATCAAACACTGCAGAAAACAGGCAGCGATCCAGAAACCATGTTTTCAGGGCTTTTTAAAATGTCATCGTATTCTGTGGTGGTTCTCAGCGTCTTTTCTTCACTCCTACATCTCCCCATAGCAGCTTCAGTTGAAGTATCTGGTCTGACTTTTAGACAAATCAGTTTAGGTTTAGAAGATGCGGCTGCGTGAAGCCGAGCGATGCCTCTCCGTGCTCCGGTCCATCCTCCTGTATTCCTGTATACGTCACTACTACTTGACTGTGCCTGCTACGGTGGGATAGGAATGTACCGGATTTGTAAATACAGAGGCACACTGTGTTTGTATTATCGGCTGACAAAGATATGTATCTAAACGAGTCAACAAGTGTACCATATGACCCCTACCACCCACCCCCGCCCCGCCCCGCCCCGCCTCCTCCACTAAGTACTGTGAATTACTACATGTGTCATTATTGTGAATAATATTGTATTTATTTATCAGACAGGAGAGTAATTGGGTCTTCAGAGAATTTTAATCAAGAATAGATTACATCGTCCATCTCAGGTTGTAGAGAATAGGATACAAAAAAGATATACTAATTTTTCAGTGCACACCAACAAGTCTACACTACTAAGAGGGAGCAAACCAACAGCTGCTATCGATGTAGCCTCACACCACAGCGGAAATCCTGAAAGATGTAAACCTGTAGCAGAGTAGAAGTAGAGACAAGTGTGGATGTCATTTGTTCAGTGACCTGATTTGGAGTAACAGGTACTTGCTAAAACGGTTATAAATATTTAAACTATGAAAGAAACGAAGGAGTTCTGTTCCAAAATGCTGAAAAACAATCACACCAAAAGCGACGTTCTGATTCATTGTTTTTTAGACGTCTGTTTACAAAATGAAGTCGTGCAGAATAGCAGGTAACACACGTGGAAATAGAAATTCAACCCAAAGTGTGTTTTTTTCATAGTGGATAAACAGCATTTTGGAAGAGGCTTGAGACCAGAACAACTCTGTTTGCTTGTCCAGTTTACTGGAAACAGAACTGCCAAGTTTTCATCTGTTTAACCCCTTCGAGTGAAATAAAAAGGCATAGTTGAATTAAAAAAAAAAAAAAAAAAAAGAGCATCTGTGATTGAGTTGAGAAATACATTCTTTTATTTTAAGCATGTAAATCAAGAGTAAACAGTAAAATACATGATGTGACAGAAATGCTGACACACTAGTTATCCTTGTGACCACAGAGTTCCTCGTAGAAGCCGATAAGGTAATAACGGCCGATAACGTAATGAAAGTCCTGAACTGATAACGTAATGATCTGGTTAACGAGCTGGTTAATACATTTGCAAAGAGTTTTTTCTAAGCAGGTCAATAACGTAGTAAGTTATTACGCTATCAGTTCAGGATTTTTATTACGTTATCGGCCTATTACATTTTAAAAAGTGCACATTTATTACATTATTGGCCATTGTTATGTTACCGGCTGGCTTCTACATTCCTTCATGATTTTCCCTCCACAACAAAAGCTCCATGTGTCAGCTGCATTACAAACAATGAAGAAAAAGAACATGTAACCACAGTGAGGGGTGTGTTCTACCCCACAGAAGCTGATATACGAATGTGCAGCTTGTAGAAAATGGGTTTTTTCTGAGTTGCTGGACTTCCAATGATGAGTGAGATTTTACAAGCACACAGATATAACTTCCTTCACTCAGCTCACAGACATCATGTTCACTCCTCAACCAGAGTAAAGTCGAGCTGTGCATCGTCACTTTGCACCACATAAACATTCAGAGATGTCAGTACACACCAGGAAACCAATCCATGTGGTTGAAAATGTGCTACAGTAACAGTTCTCCAGTGTAGATCCTTTTCCCTCATAACAATCCGTCTGTCAGAACACACACACAGCTCTCAGTAGTACTTTACAGTGTTCCTGGATAGAGTTATCTTTACTGTGGACTGCACAACAACAGTGATAGTGATAGAGTTTGAAAATAAATACATTTTGATGCATCAGATTCTGTTACTTGCACATTTGTAGGAATTAAATAGTGCACCAATAATAAGAATAAGAATAAAAATCCAACACAATATAATAATTCATTCTCACGTTTTTCTTGGCCATGGACTTCTGATTGTGAAACTGAAACAACAGACGGGACTAAAGACGATAAAAAACACATCCTACTTTCACCCAGCTGAGTGGAATCCGGGTTGATGATCGATATTAAAGACATTTGAAGAAACTCTTGGTGTCACAAAAGCAACAGAAAGACTTTCCATTTGCACTGCGCCTGTAATCTAATTCCAGTTCAGTCTCTCGTAGTGACGCCATCGTTCCGTTTCCAGGGACCGCTGACAGTTGAACGACAGAGGAGGCAACGTTATATTACAGCGATGAGTAAAGCGTCACATTATTTATCATCTGGAGTTTTATTACGCCTGCTATCATAAGGCTGCTATTAACTGGATCTGTTAACTCTGGATTTACCAGCTCAACTACAAGCGTGTTGACATCAGAGAGGCAGAGCTGCTTTAAAGCAAGCAACATGGATATTACATGACCATATCCACATGTGACATTCTGGTAGTTTATATTTAACTCTAAAAACGGTTACAAACAGAGAGGACAGCTAAAAGGCCAAAAGAAAAACAATGAATGCCTCGTTAACACGTTACTGTGATTTACGGAGCGATTTATGAACGTGTGCATCTCCAGACTGACTCCTGACTGACTCACCAGCAAAGTGACTCAGTCAGTCCTCCACTTTGGTCCAAACTGAAATGTCTCAACAACTATTTGACAGATTAGCAGGAAATGTGGTTCAGACATTCATGTTCTTCTAAGGAACATGTAGGAATGACATCGTCAGGGCGAGTTCGTTATCTGTGTTAAACTGAATTCATTACTGTCTGGTTAGCTGTATTTTCATGGTTATGGTGTGTGGCTCTTTCTCTTTGCAGTCTTTCTGTGACTTTAGCTGTGTAGTTAGCCGGTTTTATTAGTTTAATTAGCGATCACTCTGTGATTTTAGCTTTAGTGCCACAGACACATCACAACGACGACACACAAAGTACTGCAATTTGCTCTTTAGCGCCATTTCACAGGTAATAACTTTAAAAAAGCTGTTTTGTCTTAAATGACACCAACCTAGAGCAGGATTTTTAAAGAAGAAAGACAGATAAAGATTAATTATGCATCAATATGTCTCCACTGCCTTTGCATAACGCTGTGGTGCACACTGGTGAAACTAGAGGCGGGTTCTTGATGCCAGAAAACCTGATATAAACCCAGATTTGATTGGTTAATACAATATTCTTGCTTCATGATACAGACTCGTTTGGCAGCGGGGAGTCTTCAAATGCTGCCAGTCTTGTAGTGTGCAAATACAGGCTCAGTGACAGGCCTTCATTCATCTGTGACAACTGTGCTGTTACATAGAAACCACCATAAGCAGCAAATAGGACTGTTTATAACATCCTCGTCCCTTGCAAAGTGTACAAACACAGCAAACTGACACACACCCAAACAACGCAAAGAAAACGCAGAAAACATCACACTGTCCAAAATCAACCCCAAACATCCGCTCCGCCTTACAGAAGCTGCAGTGACGAACACAAACCACAGGAGGTTTGCTGTGTGCATTAGTGATTAGTGTTAACAGTCTTTTGCAGAGAGCAGCTGAGAGACGCCGAGGAGTCGAGTTTAACAATCATCTCACCTGTTTCCAGAGTAAAACATCATCTTCCAGTGTAACACAACTATAAAGTGTGTTTGTGTGCACATCTCTCCCGGTAACAGAAATGTGGACGCACATCTGTGTGTGTGTGTGTGTGTGTGTGTGTGTAACATCTGTGTGTATTTTTCGCAGTTTATGTTGGTTTATGTGATCTCAATGAAAAGCTGCAAAATCCACAAAAATCCACATCCTCGGAGCGAAAACACACACATACACACACACACACTCACTCACACACACACTCTCACTCACACACACTCACACTTCAGGCGTTGAGCAGCTCATCTGCAGAGCGTCCAATGGCGTCGGGGTTGGAAAGGGGGTCCAGGTCTGCGAACAGGTTGAACCATGCAGACATGTCTTTGGATCCTCCTGGAGCTGCTGCTGCACACACACACACACACACACACACTCAGTGAGTTTTACAATGCTAACAGGGGCTCATGGCTGCAGCAGCATTATTTTGTGGTGGCTCTTGCATAACATGTGGTTGTAAATGACACATGAAGACAGGAGGAAGGTGTGAATGGATCATAAGCATGAACCTTTGGGGAAAGAAGAGACACTTCACACAGCACCTGCCATCATATGACTATTACTGAGGCCATCATCAGCTAAACTGATCAGGAGATGAAGTTGGTACAGCCAGACTGAGAAAGCACTCACCAGCAGTGGCTGGACTTGGAGCCGGCTGAGCTGGCTGGTTCGGACCAGTAGGAGGCTGTAAGGGCGGTGCTTGGAACATAGGTGGAGTGGCCCAGCCTAAAAGACAAAGCAGGGAAAAGAAGAGTAATGGAAGAACCTGTTAAAAGCTTCTGTATGTGTGTGTGCTGCCGTGAGCTGGTCCAGCCTGCAGAGCACAGCTGGGCTGACCTGTAGAGCTCAGACTGTGATCCAGCAGCTGGGAGGGCAGGAAGCCTGTGGGACTGGGGGGGTTAGAAGGTGGTGCTGCCCCGCCGCTCGCTGCTCCGGTGCTCGCTGGTTGGACGCTGGGAGGATCAAACATCCCGAAGGCATCCTGCCACTCTCTGCTGAACTCGTCGCAGGCGCCGGCGCCGGGGCTGAGTAGGTCTTTGAGGAAAGCCATGTCGCTTCGCTCACTGTCTTCGTCCTCTGGTCTCAGCCCTGATCCAGGAGGGTGTGGACCTGAGAGCAGACTGCCACCTGGTGGGCGTGATGAAAGACAGGAGAGGTACTGTGGTAAACCAGAGGCAGCACAAGAGAATCAAAAGTGATTAAGATTCAGTCACAAAAAGAAAAAGAAAGTGTGCATTGGCTAGTTTCCAGTTCCAGCTCTGGAGCAAATAAACTGGGCTGCCATATGTCATCAGAAGGTGGCGATATAAGCTACGCTAACGCATGGCTGTAACAGAGCAGATAAAGCTGCAAACTAAACCAAACACTCAGAAACTTATAAAAGCAGAAGATTTAAACAAAACATTGTCTGTCTATGAGAGAAAAGTGGACAGAAGTCTTTAGAGATTGTTTTCAATCTGCAAAGTTGTAATTCCTCTTTAACATCAGCTGGCCACGTTTCATGCCGTTCTGTAGCGAGGACAATAAAAGAAGCTTATGAAACGCCTGCTACTTCAGAACAAGGTGTTTCTATCGCCAATGAAGCCAAAAACCATCTAGAAAATAACGTCAGTTCCATTAATGTCTCCTGAAATAACGCTTCATCTCTTCGTTCTGCCATACAGCAGCCAGACCCGGCAATTCAGGACGCCTTACAATTTAACATGCCGTCATTTGAAGAAGGTCGATGTCTTTCAAAAGGCTTCGGAGGATAAAGCCGAGCAGCTTTCAGTGTCTAGACAGGTGGAAAACGTGAAAATGTGAAGTGAAATTAAAGTCGAATAAACCTCTTTCACAGCACGCTCATGAGAGACGGGCTAATGGCTGCAAAACACCCGAGTAATTACTGGAACAGAGCCACCGTTAATGTTACTATTCACACCTGTGGTTTTGGAAATGCTCGTCAAGAGAGAAACCAGGAGCTTGGAACGACATTAAATAGAGCAAACCTGTGCTGTCATGCAGACAGTCCAAAGACAAAAAGTACAAAACAAATGTATTCCTATTGTTTGTTAATTCCTTGCTGTCTGCATTATTGTATCGTGTTAGTTGTATTTACAGCATGCCCTGTGTATATGTGAGCTACGTGTCCCACATGTACCTGGATGACTGCAGGCGTGACCTTTTCAACACAAGAAGCTCTACATCAGACATTTCCCTACAGCTGGCTTCAGGCTTTATAGGCAAGTACTTGTTGTTGTAGTGTCACTGTCTTCTCAAAATATAGCTGTCATTCAAATTACGGATAAGCTATGGAAACTAGTTTGCAGTCTATACAAAGCTAAGCCAGGACAGATGCTGGTTCTCATATCCAGACATGAGGGTGGTATTAAAGCAGTCTGACAAGTGATAGAGTAGTAGAAGTAAAAGGACCCTTCCACCAGCCAGGAGGACTGAGTCCAAGTCCAGAGAGCAAAAGGAAGTTGGAATCTCATGAGAGGTGAATTTCTGCCACAGCCGAGAAAGTTAGATAGGAAGCTGAGACCCAGCCTGAAGTGAATTCACAGCAAGAGGAAACAGAGGACAGCCAACCAGTTTACCGGTGGCAGGCAGCTGCGAGAGCCTGGACTCTCTCTGATCTCCAGCCTGTGGGGAAGGCAGGAGCTGGGGCTGGAGCGGGGCATTTGTTGAGGGTGGGGGCGGCGGAGGGTCACACGCCATGAGCATCAAGTCATCATCAGAGCCTGTCGACAGTCCTCTGAGGCTGTGCAGAGCTGGAGTAGGTGTGGGAGCGCTTTGGTGCACTGAGATCAAAGGATTATAAAGCCAGTAGGCATCCAGTCCAGTCAGCAGCAGCAATCCCAATGTACACATCTGTAGTGTTTACACAAGTGCTGGCTGCAGCACAACAGTCACAAGGTCACTTACCAGCGTCCCTCGTCTGGCTCTGTGCAGCGCTGCTGAGGGCTGGGTCTGGAAAGAACACAGTAATCACTTATGAGACTTTAGCTGACATGAACTGTTAAGTCCAAGAAACAAAAGCCTGACAATCCTGGACTATGTTTTGGTGTTTGAAGGTGCATTACACAAATACTACTCACATTTTTATTTTGGAAGTTTTGATTCATATATTTTTCCTAACTGTTAAATCTCACTGAGGGAATCATGAAAATTCTGTACGTATTTATCAAGCGCCTCAAATTTAGAATGAAGTACTAACTGATCCAGGATATTTACTCTCACTGACATATTCATGGTCCTACTTTTAAATGAAAGTGTTTAAACAGCTTTCTTTAGAAAATGAGTGTCTGTTTGTCATGTGTGTTGAGAGCTGCAGAGAAGTCCTCAGCTGTAAGGAGCTAGAAATAGCTTCGAGTGCAGGGACAGACACGTATCTGTGGGAAACAATACGACTTTGATAGTGTGATTATTTCTGAGCGACGCACAACAGAACACAAGAGATTCTTGAACAACTAACAATTTCATTCACTAATTCCAACATTGAGCTGCATTCATACATATCGCGTGTTTATTCATTAAAGTACATTTACATTCCTGCTCCGACTTCACACTATACATTACAGAAATAACAAATATTTCGCCCCTCTCTCCAAGCTTCTTTAGGAGGGATTCTGAGGTGTGGACGAGCCAGCTTGTGTTTCAGCCTACTGAGGGCAGCACATACCTGCATTAGAGGCACTTCCTGATGGCTTGTCATCATCCAAGGACACCAGACTAAGGAACAAGGAAGGAGGAAGGCAAGGAAAGAATTAGAACCTGTCTCACTGTGCTGACGAGACATCTATTTATAGCTGTGCAGCAGCATGTATTTGACTTGGAGCTGCTGTTATGAAGTGCAGTTTCAGGTGAGGTACTCTAAAGCCTAGAACTAAAACAGCTCACCACTGGTCAACATACCGCGTCTACAACCTGAGGGCTGTACTATGAAGCACGTTTGACACAGCCAGGCTTTCTTTGTGTAAGCCGGCTCAACAAAAGCGAAAGCCCCAGTCAGAGGTCACATGTATCACGAAGGTGGTTCACCTTTCTTTGTCGACTCAGACTTTCTGCTTCACATAAAAGGAGGCGTTTAACTCTAATTCTGCACGAAATGAAACGATGGTGAGCAGCTGCTTCAGTCAACAGGTTGTTTTAATGGAGAACAATGAGGAATATTTTTAAAAAATGATGACGGTGAAAGGCGCCGCTCCTGCAAATGGTGAAGACAGGAAAGTAGAAAACTGTTGAACGTGTTCATATATAATAATTTACTGATGCAGACGCTTATTTCCAACTGACAGCTGCACGTTCAAGTCAAATTTTAAACTTCATACATTTAAACATGATCTTGTATTGAAGCTCATTTAGGTCTGACACTGTCCCGTAATGCAGGAAATCACTTGAATTTCTGGCCAAATCAAAGCGAAACTCATGTTCCTGATTGAATATTCTCTGTAGTAAATACCAGTAGATGATCAATGTTCTATCAGCTGCAGTACCAGCAGAGTAAACGGACTTGACAGCAAATCAGAGCCAAACATAAAAACAGATTTATGTGATTTCTACTACACGGCTTCATTCAGTAATATTAGTAAAGTAGAGTTCAGCATGTTTGCAGATAAAACACATTCCCATCAGCTGAGAATCTGGATCGCTCATAAATAATAGTAACGATCTGGGTAAAGGGAGACGCTCTTTCAGCTGATTTAAATCTGAACCTTTGATCATAACCTGCTCCTGACCAGGTTAGCTCCACAGCATCAGTTACCATGGAGATCTCGCGCCACAGCATCAGTTGCCATGGCGATCTAGCAGGTCAAAAGAGAGCCACCTTTGTGATACTTAAAACTCTGACTTGAGGCTGAACATACCTGATAACCCACTAATCTGGCTCCGTAGTCCAACCCTCTGCTATATACAGACTTACTTGTGAGTAAACATGGGCCTGATATTGGCCTCATGTTTGATGAAGACATATCTGAGGTGGTTGTGTGAGAAACACAAAGGACAGAGATAACGAGATAAGAATACACCAAAGTGTGTGTTAATAGAGACACGACAGTGAGAGGAGTGGCGTGAAAACAGAGACAGGTGGTAAGGCAGAATGGGTATCTGTAAGGACTGGCCTCATTGATGATATCTGATTTAACAATGATTCACTGATGACAGAAGATTTTTGGGTTATATGAAACACATTTTTGACTTCAGTGCTTTTTTGTAACCTGTTGTCCTACCTGTCTGTGTTCCCCTGCAGAGCCTTCTCCTGCTTCTCCTCCTGTTTCTGTAAGTCTGATAATTGCTCCAGTGGGTCCCGCAGGTCCTGTCGCAAGGAAAAAATGCTGGTATTGATAAGTCCTATATTAACATGTGCTCTCACTTCTCAAGAAGTCCAACTGATACGTCAATGTTTTGAAGGAAGGAACAAAAATAAGCTGACTCTGCAGCCTGAAATACCTTGAGTGTGGTGAACTGGTACGGTACATGTCCTTGGAAGGCCTCATGGATTTCTGACATAGCATGGGCCGTTTTCTCCCAGAACTGAAGCAGAGTCGTCTGTCATGACAGGAAAGAAAGACATTTTTAATCACTGATATAAAGAAGACAGACAGGCAGGTCTAGGTGTGCCTATGCACAGTTTTTCTAGATATCCTGGTGAAACAGTCAGCTGACAATTTCTATCACTGTTGACCCATTATTGTCAGAGGGCATTGTGAACACACTTGATAAGTGACAAAAACAAAACTTGTTGCCTTCATGCACGTTGCACATTAAACTGGTGGAAACACAGTCCAGCTGTGACCAGTACCTACCTGGTAGGTACAGAGGGAGTGGGACAGCATGTTGCAGCGGCTCGCTCCCAGCATGTCCACCTTCTGGCACACATCGTTCTTCAGTTTCTCAAACTGACTCTTTGACCCTCTGACCTGGGCTTGGACCTGTTGACAGAAACACAGGTACACATTAACTACACACACAATAGGTCACTGAGGAAGAGAACCCACCCACACTGTTGCTCCCCAAACAAACAAGCCTCGTCCTGCCTTGCGGAACTTTTCCAGCTGTTTGTAGGTGTCTGGGTCCAGTTCTTGGGAGACATCTTTCATCCAGAGCAGAGCTCCTCTGTACTCGGTGCGGGCCTTCTCCATACGACTGACTGTCAGCAGCGTGTCAGCGATGGCACGCCGCCGGAACGTCTCCACTTCCTGATGCAAACGATGCAGCGGCGGACAAAGTGCCATCCTATGGAAAAGATACAGCTAGTGAGACTTGAAGCAGGCAGGCAAATTGTTTTTTCCCAGTAATAAATGGAGGCTTTATTGTTTTCTGTTGCTGCTGACCTCTGCTTGGCGGAGGCACAGAGGGCTTTGCTGGTGGCATCCATCATGTTGCCAGCTTTAGTGCGATCATGTTCAGCCTGGAAGCGCAAAAATAGGCCGAGTTCGTTCTCCTCCTGAGACAAGCCTGAGGAAAGAACTCACAGTTTTAACTTCTGCATAGACATCAAGGATACAACATACACACACAAAAACCAAGATAATAAGAAAAATGTAGGCTGTTTATGTTGTACAAGTAAATCTCAGGGGTTCATTAAATCCTCTGAGCAGCCCAGACAGACAAGACTTTGGCAAAACATGTCAGAAAAACAGCAAATGTCACATAAATCAGGGTAGGTCACTATTAAATGTGACTGAGTGAATAATGTAGCTTCAAAGACACTCAAACATCTGCAATACTAAACACTGCTGAAAAAAGTATCCACAGACACAGAGCTGTTGTTAATACACTACATTTGTCGTCTGTGGGAGGCTGCTAGGAAGCATCCATGTGTTCCATACATGTGCACTAGGTCACAGCTACACATTACAGACATGCACAACTGCTGAGAATGTGCACTTTTGTCCTTGTAGTTGCTGCATGTAAACACCTGGATGGAGAGGTCTGTGCAGACACTCACAGACTTGGAGAGATCACAAAATTTACATCAGTTCCTATCCGATTAGAGTGGTCTCTATTCATAGTGCAGGAGGGATCACTGAATGCTGCAATGAGCATGAAAATGACGTGAAACATACGCCAACACCTTCACAGTCACCAGGTCTCAACCTAATAGAATACCTAAGGGAGTGATGTGTTATGACAACGCTCTCCACCACCATCGTCTAAATTATTGATGTCTTCTCAGACGATTGTGTTCCATCCCAGTGGAGGTCCAAGAGTTGGAGAACCAATGCCAAGGCACACTGAAGGTGCCCAACCCTCCGTATGATGATTTATCCTTTAATATGTCATCCGTCTGTACATCTTCTGTTTGGGAGAAGTACTTATTGTATGTTCCTACTGTGCCATAACAACCTCTGGAGCTACCACTCAAAGTGTTAGTCAGTGAGGAAACATCATGTCACACTTGTAGTTTTGAAGCGTACTCACGTGTGATCCTGTACTGATACTTCTCAATCACCTTCAGCAGCTCTGTGCACGTCGACTGAACGGAGCGGAAGAACTGCATGGAGAAAAGGGCACGATTAGAGAGTAAAGAGTCAGGGATGAATGGGTCACTTTGACTTCTGGAGTCTGCTGGTGAGGACAGGACACAGCATCATGCCTCAGAAAGCTGAAATATCTGAGTATGTGCATTTATTGCTGCTACATTACAGTTTTCTTGACTAAGGACATTTCTACTAATTATGGTGAAGATGTTTCTCCTCAACCTCCTCAACCATGCTCACATCTTGTATTTCAGAAGAAAAAAATGGCACAAAGCTACTTTGCACCCAGAAACACACCTATATTTAATGCTGTTGGTATTCCCCTTTAAGAGACCACGTGACTTTCTTTCTGGTATCAAAGACAAACACCTCTTAAACCTTTAACTGCAGTTAAGCTACTGACCGAGTAACCGCCCGGCTGCCGTCCTCCTGTCCCTGCCCCCAGGCAGACTTAAGACTGTCGGAGAGCAGAGGGAGGAGGTGACCTAAACATGTGCACGGTTACTGATTAACTGTAGAACAAACAGCCACTAAATACAGTCTGTCTACCTCAGCAGTAGCCCAACACCTGTCGGTGTACAGGTCGGCTGAGATGAGCAATACTGACCACTTCACTGGGATCATGTTTATCTAATGACAACCGCTCCGTCTGAGTCACAGCAACATGGCAGGAGGAAATCAGAGACAAGTTCTCCTGTTTTCCACAACATCCAGACAAAGGAAAAGAGGAAATATACATAGAAATCATGACTGAGGGTTTTTCCACTCGCATTAAACATCTTAAAAACTGTCAGCTTTAAAATGTAATCTACTTTAATGTATTCGAGCAGCAACAGCAGAAATGTGAAAATGCATTGAGGCAATGCTGTGATAAAAATCAGACACAATCAGGTCAGGTGTTTCTGAACGGCTCTGGTTTTAGTGCTGCTGCTTCACAGAGGGCTCACACTAAAGCTGAAGCTTGTGAAGAAGGAAGCAGAAAATTCTCCCCTGAAATCTGTTTGAATGTTGGATCTTTGTGCGGTTCTTCTTCTGTCTTGCCCTTTGCTTTTTCTCCTCTACTTTCCCCTCTTTTTTCACTGCTTCTCTCTCACTGGAGACAATGAGACCAGATCTTGTTCCAGAGCAAACAAAAGGCTCACAGTGTGTCCCTCGCAATTCAGTGAAACTCGACCACGTCCCCATCTCACAGGAGCCTTCACGTCCAAACAGCCTGTCACAGCTAAATGCCAGCCGGGCTTCGGCCAATGCAAACAGTCCGCTTGTTGCACCACTGAGACAGAAATATTAAGACAGAAGGACGCGTACGCTGTCATTTTTATAGCTGTTAATGTGGTCTGATGTGTCTCACATTTATATATACGACAGTTGTAACTTAACAGAGTGAAACGATTTCTGCAAACTGTGAATCCTAGAATTCCAGTGGTACCACATTCCTGCTACCATGACAGCCCTCGTCTTTAAGTACAAGTTCCACCAAAGTAAGATTTTCCTCAGAAAACATTTTCCATTTCAAAAACCTACGAATACAAAATTCCGTATGACTTTATTCCTCTTTCTGCTCCAGTAATCATCATATGACGCCTCTGATTTGATGTTGTGACACTCTGGAGCAGCTAAATCCTTCAGTCGGGAAACACTGGGCTGAACAGTTCACTGTCTACAGAACTAAGTCCATCCCAAGCAGCAGGATTCGTTAATGCCCTACACACTGACGCATCAGAATTACACGACTTCATCTGACATCTAACGAGAGTGGATAGATCAAAGTTAAATTTAAAAATATTAACTATTGATTTTTTTTTTGGTACCGTTGTACTGGAACGTCTTCCAGCACCAGGCCTCGGGTTTGTGTAAAGCTACTGATTTAATTCTAGCAGGAGGTCATACTTCTGCAGTTACTGACTAAAGAGGAACAAAACAAAGTTCTCCTGGGAAAAGATAACGCAGAGGAAGTGGCCACGAGAGGGAGAGGTGAGTCTACACAGAAGGAGATCTTTGACTTAAACATGAATCAACGTAGTCCCAAGTGGTATTTAAATGACTTATTTCCACCTGTCAAATGAGATGATATAGTTTATTATTACAGGAGGTAACAGTTTGTGCGTTAAAAACCCATCGAGGTCTAAAATCTGTCCATCTCTACCTCGAGTTTAGCGTCCAGGTCAGCATCTGAAGCCACCACGTACTCGTCTTCCTTCTTGCCCGTGGCTTTGATGAGGACCTGCTTGGTCTTCCAGAACTTCTTCTGCATGCGAGCCATCACCGAGCTGTCCTCGCCAAGCAGAGCCCGGCCGCCGCTCAGCATGTCACCCGCAAACCTGGAGGCACCGGAAGAAAAGAAAAAACCACAATCAGTGACTTCTGTCTGAGATGTCGGCTCATAATGACACTTCCTTATATCAGAAACACGATGCTGTACATTGCATTTAACAAACATGTGAAGCTGTCACATACCCGTCCATGATTGAAGTGTTGTCTGTTCTGAAAGCAAACACAAAGTGAGATAAAGTTTAGACAGAAAGAGTGAGAACGTTTGGACATAAAAATGGCATTTAAGTGTAAAATAAAGTGGAGCTGCACCAATTAACCCACGAATCCATCAGTTCTCAGCTATTAAATTAATCACCTTCAAACTGATGAACAGTCTAATTAACTTTCTTTATGAGACAAAAAGCTAAACTCACTGATTTAACTTAAATAGAAATACTTTCTGGTGTCTTTCCTCCACGGTGACAGTAAACTGAGTGTCTTTGAGATGAATCTTGAGATTTAGGAAACAATGACTGACATTTTTGGAAATTTTTCAGACGATACAACTGATGACACAACTAAGAAAATCATGGATAGTCGCAGCTCTAACATGAAGTACTAACACTGACCAGTGCTGTTGATCAGGTTTAATATTTTCCTTTCCATTGTTTACTCTTGTTAGCATTCACACACACACTTGAAAGCTGACAGCTGTTCACCCAGCAACTTACAGCCGAGCTACAGTCTGTTTTTAGGGGGTTTTCTGTGTCTGGACTGAACTCTTTGCTAAAAAAGCTCCTGTGATGCGGTTCTTGGAGCAGGAATCAGACAACAGCGACTTTAAGGAGTCTCGGAAACTGAGAGCCAGCTGGCTGTCGGCTAGGTGTTCAGTTTCAGCGAAGCCTGGCATGCTGACACGGAAAGAAACCCCTAATTATTATTCAAACATGTATCAATAGAATAGAATAAATTAACGACAATGTCACCTAATAGAAACAAACCAAACGGCGGTGGAGAAAACGAGCTAAAGCCACGTATCGGAGCCTGTGTGCTAGCAGCAGGTTAGCTAGTAGCGGCTACAGCGTCTCATCCCGACGGGCTGAACCGGAGACACACGGCAGGGAAACAGGGATGGGGTTGGTTTTCTGGTCAGAGGCGTCAATGGGGGGATGCACGGTTACCTGGCTTTAAGTGTTCAGTCCGAGCATCTATGCATCGCAGGTCGGCCGGCCTCCTCCGCCGATAGCCGCGGTCTGACTCAGGAACAGGATATGCAAAGCAGCCGTGACGGAGCTGCTGCTGCTGCTGCTGCTGCTGCTGGGCTCCACCAAGATCGTCTATTCACCCAAAACTCAACACTCACGGACACTTCTGGACTTCCAGCATGCAAAAGTGCACGTTGTCGGACAAAAACCAACCCAGCTGATGTGACCTCGATGCTGAAGTGAAGGAGAACCGGAGAGGCAGGTCTGGTCCATCCTGTCACGGTCAGACCAGTTCCAGGCAGAACTCTGCACGTTCGTCTTCTGCAGCCTCAAACACGAGGAAGTGGATCCAAGGAAACAGCTGTGGAAGCAGAACGTGTAGAACTCGTTTAACCGAATAATTAAACACCCATTTAACTTCTATTCATGTGGTTTTGTACTGTTTTTAATCTCTGTATCACCTGAATAAAAACAATAAATATGGAATAATTAAGTTCAATATGAATTCATAAACTGTCATTTATAGGTAGCGAATAAAAACTTGAAAATCTATAAAGGAATCTTATAAACAAATACATCTGAGAAAGAAAATCAAATCAAAGAAATACATATTTGTCTGATTTTATAGTTATTTTAACTTCATTTCTAACTTACAAAGTGCAGCATGTGACAGACTTCAACATGACAATCTAATGGCACATTAGCATTATTTATTAATACTGATCCATTCCTAACTCCCATCCATCATCTCTACACCTTAATCTTCACTAGGGGGGGCTGGAGTCTATCCCAGCTGACTCAGGGTGAAGGCAGGTTCACCTGGACAGGTAACCAGTCTATCACAGGGCTACACTTAGAGACAGACAACCAAGCACACTCACATTCACACCTACGGACAATTTACAATCACCAATTAACCTCAGCATGTTTCTGGACTGTGGGAGGAAGCCGGAGAACCCGGAGAGAACCCACGCTGCACGGGGAGAACATGGTGATGGCTTTCACACCATGACTGATTAGTGTTTATGGGTCTGATGTATGCCAAGACAACATCCCTGCCCTCTGCTGTACTGCTCACACAGGCCAGACTGAGTGTGTGGATTCATGCTGCTGACACCGAGCTGTGAGTTTATTATCTGCAGCCTGAGCAGAAATGAAGACTCATTAGACAAGGCAGGAGTTTATCCAGTCTTCAGCTCTTTGGTGAGCCTGTGTAATGTGGCCTTCTGCTGCTGTGCTGCACAATCTGAACTGCTTCTCGACTCACTACAGCTGTCAAGAGCAGCTGTCTGAGGTACTGCAGCCTTTCCATCAGCACCAACCAGTCTGACCTCTCTCATCAACAAGGTGTTTCCATCTACAGGTCTGTTGCTCACTGGGTGGCGTTTGTTTTTCACACCATTCTGACACTGTTCCCAGAAGATTCAGTACCAGAACCACATTTTCTACCCTTTGTGATGCTTAATGTGAGCATTAACTGATGTGAGCACTAACTGAAGCTCTGGAGTTGCACTGCTGCCACATGACTGGCTGACAGGATGAATGCACAACCTAATGAAGTGCTTAATGCAGGGGTGTCCAGTCCTGGTCCTCGGGGGCCACAGTCCTGCATGTTTTAGATGTTTCCTTCTTCCAACACACCTGATTCAGATGATCAGCTCATCAAGCTCTGCAGAAGCCTGATAATGATCCTGATCATTTGAATCAGGTGTGTTGGAAGAGGGAAACATCTAAAACATGCCGGACTGTGGCCCTCCAGGACCAGGACTGGTCTGGCTTAATGAGTGCATGACAAACCTTTTCTGCCAACAATATATTCCTGTTCCTGTATTTTTTGCATCCTCAAACTGCCCTACTTTCAGCTTAAAAACTAAGAACCACCATCAAAATATCACACATACACTTGAATAATAAAGTAAAAAAAGGACAATATTTTAGGAGACAAAATTAATTTATAATTTGGGTTACAGGGAAACAAAACAAGCCATAGGAAAATGTGTAAAAATAACCAGGAGGGCAAAGAACAAAACGAACAAAGTGAAAGTTTTGTCCAGCGTATTCATGTCTTGGCAGCACCGATGTCGTGTGTCTGTCTGGACGATGTGTGGAAGCGTCGGAGCGCCAGGCCCGTGCCTACGCCCCTGCATCTGTCTGACATCCTGAGTATCTGTAGGTGTACAGCTTGTTATCTGCACCTCCGCTCAACATCAGCTGAAAACAGAACCAGAGAAAGGACAGAGTAAAGTTAATCATTAGTTCTGAGTATCAAGTGTTTATGTCGAGTCGGAACCTCTGAAGAAAACAGCTGATGGGTCGTACTTCACTTTCCGTCCAGTCCACACAAAACACTTTGTCCTCGTGGGCTGCCAGGTCATACAGAGGAGCCTTGCAGCTGGAAGATGACAAGGAAGCATTCATGGTTATGTTCTTCAATAATTTCATTTAACACCCAGGTTCATTGCACAAGCAGTGGAGGATATGTGACCTCATGAAGGACAAACAGTAAAATACACAACATAACACTACAGGATCTTCTAATTACGCCTCTGTATTTCAAGGAGGCTTCAAGTGAAGCTTAGAGCAAGGAAACACAGGTGTATCCTAGGTAGGAGTCTTTTTTAAAGTTGTACAAATGTCACACCTGGGCGTCACTTTGATTTGACAGCTGATGCATGCAGCGTGCTGTAATTAACTGCCATCGTTTAATACTGAGGCTATAAAATGAAAGATTTGGCAGCTCCAGACGCTCCGTCCTCACATCTCATTCTTATATATGCGCTGGGAGGAGCTAAGATGTGAGGAAGAGATGCAAGTGAGCCCTCTAGTGGGCCGTGGCCCCCCTGCTGAGAACCACTGCTCTAAATGACCAAAGTATGAAAGTCAGGGGTGTTTTTGGAAAGCGATAAATATGGCGTCAGCTGTCTACTGGACAGAACATAACCATAAGTGAGGAAATCGACTCAGAATCACTAATTAACCCATCGTGCCAGAGCACCCAGAGAAAACCCTGGCAAGCACTTTGTTGTCAGGGAACAGTTTGTATTGTACCACTGTGCCGTCCGATCCTTTAAGACCCACATGGTGTATGTTTCTGACTTGTGACGAAAGCACAAATGCTATCAGGTATATCAAGTGTAACGTATATGCTTCACAGACCTTCTGGTGTCCCAAAGTTTGACCAGGTTATCAAGGGAACCTGAGACCAGCTGGTGCTCGTGTGACGGCGCCCATTTGACAGCAGTAACCCAGCCGGTGTGGGAGGTCAGAGACAGCAGCACCAGAGAGCCGTCTGAAAGGAGAGGATGTGGATGTAGGCATGAAGAGAAACAGCGAGGATGGAGTGATCACGAAACGACAGCTCAGGCACGGATATTTCTGATGGGAAGTCGACTCGGCACTTGGAGCCCAGCGGTACCTTTGGTGCGAGGGTCCCAGAGTCTGATGTGTCTGTCGGAGCTGCCCGAGGCCAGCCGCCGACACAAGGGTGAGTAGGATATACAGTTAAACACTTTACTGCCCGTCTGTGGAAAACACAACAACAGTGTCAGTTGGGAAATTCCAGATAAACAGTGTTTGACCTACTTTTTTAAGTTTAAAAGAATGTTTTTAAAGAAGTGCAGCTCTGTGACACTAAACTCTTCCTGCTTACTGGAACACTGCAGATGTTTAAAACAGCTGTGACATTAACGCTTTCTGTAAATGTTGTCAGTTCAAAAGTAGCATCTAGTAAACCTCTGAACTCGAAACTGAATTTTGATTCACTGTCGCTCATTCATAGATGTGAGATAGAGTCATGTCATGGAGGTATTTTACTGCTGCTGCTTGTGATGGAGCCAGTTTTAACAGATCACATTGTTTAGCTCAGTGGTTCCCAACCAACGAGCTGTTGTTTTTTCTCACCAGCGTCGTCTTCATCGCTCCAGTTTCCACGTCCCACACTCGTATGGTGTGGTCCCAGGACGCACTGCAAACCTCCTCGCTGTCACACCACAGGACAGAGGACACCGCCTCGTTGTGTCCAGATAACGTCATCAAGGGAGTCTGCAAGAGAAAAAAAGGAACCTCATTTTGCTGAAAGTTGGAGCCATCATTTTTGGGTCAGTCACTCTCTCGCTCTGCACCCACCCTGGTCAGACCCAGCTGCTGAGTCTTCTGTTTTTTCCGCGGTCTGTCAGCGGGTTCCTCAACCTCGTCCGCCTCATCTGTGGGAACTGGGAACACAGGAAAAGTGCGTCAGCTTTATGATATTCATTTATTGTATCCAGTAATTCTGTTCATAGTTTGTCACCGTTCATACCTGCAGACCAGATCTTCAACATTTTGTCCCAGGAGCCGCTGCAGAACTACAAGGAAGCAGCACAAACATTCTCAGCCAAACCAGTTATTTTTGTCATTTACTTTATTTTTTTCGACACTTTCCAGCTTTACCTTTGAGCCGGTGGGGTCTGCAGAAACTGTGTCAACGCTCCCCGTGTGCCCCCGGCAGCAGTGCCTGGCTTTCACCTTGTTCCTCTCAGAGTTCCACTCCCACAGCAGCACGGTTTGGTCCAGAGAAGCCGTCAGAAGCAGAGCGGTCAGACCGTCTGCAAAGAAAACGTCCACAGGGAAGTTTTAGAGAAGGTTGTGATGGATAATAACAGAGAGGATGTCTGCTGTTCTGTCCTGCTCACCTCTTTTGACCCAGGCTACATCTTTGACCACATCTGTGTGTCCAGCCAGCGTCATCACCGCCTTGCCCTCCACAGACCAAATCCTGGCCGTCTTATCATATGACCCTGTCAGGATCCTGCAAAAAAAAAGAAGAGAACAAAGAGTAGATTAGAGTGAATGAAGTACAAATACAGTTTTTTAGTAAAGACCAGAACAAGACATTGATGTTTCTTTAAATGAGAAGCATCACTGACGACATTTCCAGGAACTGCTCAGGCGTCTTACTAAAGCCAGTCATCAACCAATTTCCTTCTTTTTATATTAAAACAAACAAAACATCAGGATGTGAACTCTTCCTCTGCATGTTGCAGGTAACACACACCACATACTATGTAAATAATAAGAAAAACCAGTGCATTCATCCACCAGAGACTGATGTGTTGGTACGTTTAGTAACATCCGTCTCTCTCTATCAAAAACCTTTGAGTATGTGTTCATATAAAAGAAAAGAGGTGAAAGGAATGAGAGAAGGTGGAAAAGAACACAAAGGGCTGATATGTAACTCTCAGACTGACTTTTCAGCTTTAGAATCCAGCATCTTTCTGGCATTAGTAGCCTGATTAGATGTTTTCCAGATGTTTCCCTGTTTAGATAATGTGCACTTGTCTCTCTTTTTTAACAAATCAATCCTTTTTTTCTTCAGTTATGGTGTTTGCAAAAAATGTAGTTGGTCATCTAATTACTATGACCACCAACAGAAAGCTTGATCAAGGTGATAAAACATCGTCTCACCATTCAGCATCAGCGTCTACGGAGCTAATCCAGTCATCGTGCATTATACACTCCTCGGGCTCCGGGGCAGTGATCCGCTCCACATATTCAATCTCCACAACTTCTTCCTGAAACACAGAGAAACCCACTTGTGCATAAAATATCAAATAATGTCCATATGTTCATGCCATTTCCAGTCATGTTAACTTAGTGATAACTAGATTGTTCTATATCTCAGTACACACAACGCTTCACGCTAAAATCAGAAATCAACATGTCCACTCAGGCTAATTGTTCAGTGATTGAATTTTAATCAGTCATAGAGAGCAAAACAAACACAAAAATAAATGTCATTTTCAGAAATGGTTGACTGATTATCACTTATGTGAACATTCAGTTGGCTCATCCTTTGTTGTATCTGTATATTTATTTATTTTGGATCTTTTTTTTTTTATATGCAGTCTTTCTGCTTTGTAATTATTCCTGAGGGTGAAAATTTGTCAATCTTACTCTGGTACATTTGCACATTTTTTTAAATTATTGTACACTCCCCATTTGAAATAAATAAAATGAAAGTGTTTTAAAAAAGGACTGAGGCAGACCATACCGTGGATATGCCCTCTGTTTCCATGTGAGCGGACAGCGACGTTCGCAGGAACTGACCCCTGACCAGGAAGTCGAACTCCACTTTGCTGTGAGATGCTGTGAAGACAAACAAAAACCACATGTAATCAAGCTATTTATATTGTCTGTGATAACATATACATTACATATTACCTGCCTACATGGTATTAAACAGTAAAACTTACATAAATCTGATTTGGATCCTATTTTCTATGATGGGCTTAAGGATCAGGATTATATATGTGCTATTCTGTACATGTACATAAAGAGGATGATTAGGTTAAGTAAAGACAGATAACAGTTATTCAGTCTACCTGCAAATGTTGGGGAACTCTGTGCCAGAAGTATGTGTGTTGCTGTTGAAAATACAAACCATTTTTTGCCTCCAGCAGCTTGTTGATGACATTGCTGAGGTCCTGCACTTCAGAGGCAGCCGGGATGGAGAATGGGACATCATCTACAACATACCTACGAAGACACTCAATCTTCAGCAACGATTGCACTCATAGAATCCACCACTATACTTTATACTTCATACTTAGTTCATTCCTTTGGCGTGTGAAGTGACATAAATAAAAAGAAACAGATAATCACAACCTCACACTGCTAGCCTGGGCGAGCTAAAACAAGTCCAAATCAGCTGCTATGAAGGCTTCTAGTTAGCAGCTAAACTAGAGGACATGTTACAGTCCACGCAGAGACTGGCAGAACACTGTCTCACCTTATTGCTGTAATGTTTACTCTTAAGTCACAGCTAGCCAGCTAGCTAACCAACCCGCTACGTCTGTCCTGTTGAGTTTTAAACTCCAGAGAAAAGAGTAAAGACGCACCTTTGGTTCTCCGTAAAGAACCTCGCCTGTAGCTGCGACATCTTCTTAGTATCGTGTTTCTCTGACCAACAACTGGCTCCCGGAACCGTAAAATACAGCTAAATAGGTATTATACGTCTCTTCATAACACTCCTCACTCTCGTGCAGTCGTGCCATGTGGTACGAAGCAAGGCTACTCAGTGGAGCGCAGATAGCATCTCGATGCTGCAGGTCGGTGCTCGTCTAGTCATGCCTTCCCATATTGTACAGTATGTTTCTCCTTAAAGTCAATTCAGTGGGTTTTCTTAATAAGTGGGAGAAATTATTGTCCATGTCCACAGTCTGGACGCCCCATAATCTGAGTTTATAATCCAATATTCAAACATATAGATATATTTTCCCAGTAAAACAAACTCACCACAAAATGCCTTTATGTTTCACATGTTTAATTACAGCAACTCTTCAGCATCTATTCCTAGTATTGACAGGACATGATGTCTGGCATACTCGCGCATGTCAAAAACTAGAATACCAGAGGAAAATATTTTTTTCTAATAATTTAACCATAAAAGGTAGACTTTCAAATGATCCGTATGGATTGCATGTAAAGTGTAATATTTCAAATGATCTCAAGTTATTTGAATATAAGATCCTATTTTTAAAAAAGGATTTACAATACAGATATGACCAACATCTAAAAACTATGTTCATTTATGCACTCGATGCTTGGCTGTGGCACTTTATTCAGAATCAGAACCAGAAAAATGACCTTTATCGCCAAGTGAGTTTGCACACACAAGGAATTTGTTTCGGTTACGTGAAACTCACAGAACTAATGAAGGATTAGTTAAACAACAAGACAGCAACAGAGTTAGTACATAATAAATATAAAATCTTAATCTGAAGTCCTAAGAAGTACTATAAATGTAGCTTTAGCCATGAACTGATAGAGTGATGTGCAGTGAGGTTCATCAGACAGAATGGGGAGAGACTTGTTCAAGACTGTGTTTTGTATAAAAAATCTAAAATAAAATAGGAATAGTAGAATCATGGGCTGGATCGTAAATTCTCACTTCACTGCAGAGGAAAATGTGACCATTCAGATTATTCAACCAAAACACACCAACTCAGCAAAAAATGTTTTATTTCACCACGGCAGATATTCACAGTCTCGGCCAATAAAAAGGTTTATCAAAAGAGAAATCTGTTCTTACAGCTCCATGCTCTGTGGGAAATCTTATACGTACATCTTCACAAATAAAGACAAACATAAAAACTGTTTAACTACAAACAGGAAAAAATGATTTACAATTTTGACTCATTTTAAGAGTGGAGAAGAATCTCCTCACTCAGCTATAAAATGAGTTTGTTGTTTAACATGAGCTTCTTTTCAGATGTCCAGAAACAGGCACTAAATAAAGTGTTGCGCTTATAAGATATAAATGCATGACAAAAACCGATTAGGCATGAAAATTAAAACAAAAATATATACACTCTTTAATCTTTTCAGTCATCGTCTTCTTCCTCCTTCACCTTCTTTTTTTTCTTCTTTTTCTTTGTTGACTGGAGAGAAAAAGGGGAGCGATTACAAACCAAACTTTAACACTTTAACACTCAAATCTCTTACGAGTCATTTTGTGCTTCTGTCTTACCTCAGTTACCGCTACCTCCTCCTCCTCTTCCTTTGGTTGTTCAGCTTCTTCCTCTGCTTTCTTGTCCTTCTTTTTCTTCTTCTTCTTCTTGGGCGTCTCCTCTGCTGGTTCTGTTTCTGCTTCTTCTGTATTAAACATGAGACCAAACCATTTAGCCAACAAGAATCCCAGAGTACATTAAAAAAAAAAAAAAAAAAAAAGGTTCACTCCAGATTCACCCACCTGTTACTTGCTCCTTTTTTGGCTTTTTGGATTTGACCGCCGGTGTTGCAGGCTCATCTGCAGCCTCCTCTTCCTCTACCTCCTCAAACTTCCTCTTCTTTGAGGTGGAGGGAATCGTCGAATCACCGGATGGATCGTAAATTCTCACTTCACTGGGAAGGAAAAAAATGTCCATTTAAGCCCTTTTATATGTGGAAATATAAAATCTTTGGAAACGAGTCGTGCTTCTACTCACCTCTTGTGTTGGTATTTGTCCGTCTTTGCCATCCCTTTACCCGTTCCACTGATTCTTCGGATCTAAAAAAAAAAAAAGGAAATTAAATCAGATGGTCACAATAAAACACATTCATGAGCGTGGATCTTCTTTAGCAGGACGGCGTAAGTTTAAGCAGAAACTATGCTGAAGATAAAATAGATTCTTTTTTAAACACAGTGTCCCATTAGTTTGAACCCAAAACCTACCAGCAGGTTTGAAAGATGAGTTAAAAAAGGTTCATATCACACCTTCATATCAGAGCCAGGAACTGTGAAAACTAAGAAATAAAGCATCGACTGTTTGGGGTTCAGATGGTTGATCTTAACAGTAGTTTACCAAATAACCCTCCATGGTGTCACCGTGCTTAGGGAGGAGGAATTTTGCGGTTTCCCAGTTTGAGCATTTGTAAAAATGTAATTATAAGTTTGTGGCCCATTTTTGAAATCGTACATCTTCAGTAGTGGGCTGAGGGTCACGTCAATATACAAACTGAAGTACTGCGAGTTTTAAGCAGATATAGTGAGAATGGTGCAGCGTAACGCCTGGCCTCCCCTTAAGAACAACTCAGGATGGACATTATTAGTACTACAGGTATACTTACTCCCTTCTCCTCCAGCTGGCGCAGTCTGGCCTCCAGCTTGGCACGGTTCTCTGCTCCCATTTCCGCGTTTGTGTCTTCTCCGAGGGCATCGTAGCGAATAGCCAGGGCTGCTTTAGCTGCCAGCATTCTGGAGATCTGCAGCCATCACAGAAAACCAGAGCATGTGTTTATTTTCTGACACATGTTCAACAGTGATTGTTTAGTCCAGGTGACCGTCTCTCTGCACTTACCTTGCCCTTATTCTTGGCAGTGGTCTGGCCCACCAGAGAGGCGTGGTATATGAGACCGTACTTGGGTGTGTCTTTACGGGTCTTTAGGGCTCTAAACAGAGCCTTCTCTGCTCCGAGGATCTGCACTGTGGAGGCTGGGTGCTTTGCCAGATTTAGGAGGGAACCTAACAATAAAGCAACAAAGCATTAAGAGCAGGTATTCTCTGCAGTACCAACCTAAGTGTTCTGCATTTAGAGCAAGCTCAGATGAGGTAGTGACTTAAAACCATCAGTAATTTTCAGCAAAGAGACATAATGTCGTCATCATCACCGCTTGGCTGCTTCTAACATAGTGAAAGGTGAGGTTGTGACTTACCGGCATGTGAGATGAGACGAGCACCAACCAGCTCTCCCACCATGACTGTCAGGTTGGGGGCGATTGCCATCATCCGATTCTTCAGGTAGTCATAGAGCTGAGCGCGGTATTCTGAAATCTCAATCACCTGTGGAAGAGAAAAGATTTGCTTTATAACTGCCGGGACATAAACAATCCCAGCATCAGGGCCCATTCCTGGAAACACAAGCCGAGCTCATGTGACTGTTCAGATGAGGTAGTGACTAAGAACCCACATGGACTGTTTCAGGGTTGAGACAACTGTCGTCATCATCACCACCATCACTTAAGCTCCACAGCAATGAAATGAAATCCACACCTGATCACAAAGGTGTCTGATGTTGCCGATGTCCTGCTCCGACACTTCCGTTCCCATGGAGATCTCTGCAGCCAGCTTAACCTCAGCCTCGATTTCCTCAGGGAGTATGTCTGACAGATCGGAGCCCGCCACCTTTGTGCGATCACCTGGAGACACAGTGTGGGTCCAACATTTGGTTACTCAAGAACACTTGCTGGTTCTGCTGCTTTTAGGCACTGATAACTAAACCTTTGTAAATGAGTTTTAAAAGAGAAACTTCACTGATTTAACACATGAAATTCAGTTTACTCATCACTGGGAGTAAAACCATGATAATGTCACGAGGGTTTTCAATCTAAGCCTCAATCTGGAGAATATGAAAATAATAAACTCACTAAACAAACACTGTACGTAGGAAGTTACAAGGCAGAGTCTGGAACTCAACTCACATGAATATTCTGTTCTTTCCTCTCTGTTTTTAAAAAATGTGCTTCTTGAGAATCTCCTGACTTTATGTAAGTGCAATACAAAATCACTGAACCTTCACGTTCTTGTGGTGTGTTTGTTTTTACCTATTTTGCGCACACTCTTGCAGTAGGCCAAGTTGTCTGTGATGACTTTTCCTAGTTCAGGGAAGTGCCAGCCGTACCACTCTCTGCAGCGCATGATGTAGTTGTTCAGCTCCTTGTCCAAGTCATCCAGAAGAGCTACAGAGACATGGCCAGACAACACAGTCACATGAACAGCAGAGATTAGACACTTGAGCTAAAACAGTTACTCCAGTTATCATCATCTTACATTTTCAAAGCAAAATGTAAAAGAAAATTTGATAATTGCTGGTTTCAGCTTCTTCTATATGAATTGTTGCTGCTTTTGCTCATCTTCTGTTATAAACAGACCCTTCAGATTCAGAGTGTTTGTTATCCAGTACAAACAGTGTGAACACATGAATGCATGCTGTGGGACACTGTGACGGGCATTTAACACGATTGTTATTGTTGTAAATGATATAATTCAGACCCAAAAATCAAGACTGTGGTCAGATCAAGTGATTCCAAGAAAAAAATCAGTTACAACCACATTCATAACATGACATATTGTTTAACACTCATAAACAAGCAAACACTTACAAATCGCCTGCACGATCATCGTGTCCACTTTGTCTGGACTGAACTTGAGCTTGTAGCGGGATAAACTGGAAACAGAGGAAAACACAAAACATTGATGAGTTACATCATACGTCTTATTATTTTTTGATTCGCAGTTAAACCTGATCAAACTGCTGCCTCAGTGGTAGTGACGAATGCTGAGGATAATCTACATGGATGTTTCAGACAGCGGATGTAATCATAGGCAGCAGTCTTGCTCACGTAACATAATCCATGGACTACCAACCTGTGAGCCAGCCCCAGAGACATGGCGCTGATCTCCCTGGGAGGAAGTCCGGTGATGAGGCTCTCCATCTGACCCCTGATGCATCTCATCAGTTCAGCCACAGCAGGACTGTGCACACAGCTCAGATCCAACTTGTCCTGAAAAGCAGAGCCCAGTTAAAGCAGCTCCTGGAAACAGTGCCTGAGTAAATCACTGATGGAAATGTTGGACTACTTACTTTTATAACTCCACCAAGTTTTGCATCGCTGATGGCGAGCTGTTCGTGAGCTTCCTTGGCAACAACTTTCTTCAGGACTTTCTTCAAACTCTTACCAATTTTTCCCTCAACGAGGGCAGTGGCAGCTGAGTGATAAAGGTTAGAAACACTGCATTAAACGCATGCATAGCAGTACATATAATCTGATAAAGGTCATGTAACAGATGAGGAGTACTCAAGCTCTTTTCAAGCATTTACATTTTTAATCATGTTCAGTTCGCTGACATGAAATAATGTGGTCTCAGTGGTAGTGACGAAGGCTGTGTAACACCTCATGCTTAAATCAGACACAGAAATGCATCACAGACCACAGACCTAAGACCTACATTAGCACACAAAGAAGCATGTCGTTACCTGCTAAGGCCTCTGTTGTGTCCTGGAACTTCTCAAAGTGTTTCAGCTTCACACTGGTAGGAACAAGACAAAAAAACAGTGAGACCAGTTTCCTATCAGCAAACTACAATTCATAAATCAATGACAACTTTCTGATTAATTCTTAGGAAGGAGGGGCTGTCCTTAAGTGGCTGAATGATCCAAGAATTCTTACATTTTGTGGGCTTTTTCAGGAGTTTCAAACTCCTTATACAGACTGTCCACCTGTTGCAATTTTGATTCATCGAGGACCTGAAACACATCAGACACTTGAAGTTAGTTGACTTGCATTGACAAAAGCACATCAGTACCAGTTGGCTGGGGGCTCAAGAAAACCCACAACAAAGGGCTGCATACAATGTCTTCACTAAAGTTTTTCCTGATTTTTCATGTCAAATGTTTCATTATTATTATTTGCAGCAGTAACAACATCGTGTGGATGGATGCTTCCCCTTGACTACATAATGTGATCTCTCTATTCATTAAAGCAACTAACAGTATATAACAACAGGTAGCCAAGTAGCAATCAAAACACATCTAATTATTTTATTGTAAATGAAGTTAATTGAGGTATCATTAAGGTATAAACCGATTTTTCTGTGGTAGCATCTGTATCTCCTCTTCTGGGCTATTGAAAAATCTAAATCACCCAAATTGCTATTAAACAAAATGTAATAAAAAAGAAGTAGTTTTAAAGTTCATCTTTACATGTTAAATATAAGACTAATTCCATGGTACACAACTTGACTCTACATTTTATGCTCTCACTGATAAGGATGTGGAACATGAGCTAATCATAGAAATAATGTAATCAAGAGCGCAGGATCCGATATTTTATATTAATTTAACGCAGAAATAACTTGAGATGTGTTCAGCTATCAGGTTAAACTGCTGTGCTGGACTCAGACCCCAATGCATGAAGCTCCGAACAGCTCCTTTGTCCCTACATGTGTGCAGACACAATTTGAGAAAACTGATGTAGTTGATCACATTTAAGCACAACCCTGACGGACTAAATGATCAGCATGTAGCTGAATGTTGAACGAAGCTGAGCCCAGCGTGCCTCGTTGAGCACACGTGGCTACAGGCCAGTCGGGCTGCTAGCTTGATGCTAATGAGCAAAGACATTCATGCACGAGTTAAAAATAATTACACATTTGCACATTAAAGCACTTAATCAAACATTAAGACTGCTTTTCCACTTCGTCATCAGCAGCAATGTCACCTTCCAAAGAAATGGTATGGACTGTCGGTAACTAGCTGCGGTGCTAACCTAAGCTAGCTCAAATAGCCAATGCATGAAAATCGTTCTTTTTTTTACTGACAGGAAACAACTATTTCATACTCACTTTAAATATCGCATAGCCCGCAGCGGTCTCAAATAACACGAGCATCTTGGCAGCAGCTCAGTAGTTTTCTACACTTTCTGTGCTCTCTCCAACGAGAGCCTTCCAACACCACGCTGCTGCTCCCACTGTCTGGAACACACGAGGCGGAAAGAGCCGAGAGCACCAAAGAAGACTTCCGGGTTGCCAGGTCCGGTTACATCGGCTGATATCACCCGATTTCACTCGTCACTCGTTTTTTTTGTCGATACTGCTTGTGCGCGAGAAAGGCTGAGTGCTCCCCACTACACGGAAGAGGTTGTTCTTTGGCAGTCACTCAATCTATCTTTGTCCTTTAAGCAAAAACTATGCATACAAGTAACTCCACATTCTATAGGGCTTTGCGTTTTTCACCTCAATTTGGCAACCCGTGAGCATCGCGCTGCTGCTTCATGTTAAAGCTCGCGAGAAGTTGTTTCAAACCACTTGGCTTTTAAAATATCACGTTTATAAAAAATTACACAAAAAGAAAATTGCAGACAATGCTGTACATTTTCTATAAAGTAATCATACATTACTTGTAACATACATCGTTATTTATTTATTTGTCGTACTGTGTTATGTAAGGTGGCCGACGGGGGCAAATGACGTACTTATACACAAAGGAGCGACATATACATGAATGCGTTGCATAAACAAAAAAGCTGCGTTATTATTATTATTATTATTATTATTATTTCGTGCCCAACGTTTTCGTGTTCCCCAGCACGAATTTCAAACCAATACATTTCAGTTGGAATTAACTTCCGTGTGGGGGACACGTTTTTCTCCATCAGACATCCATATGCTGTGATGTTTTTGTCCTTCTTTTCTTCCGACAGTCAGCATTAACCAGTTTTCCTGTTCTGGCCTGTCCACACTAATAACTATAGATATCACTATACAGATGTGTGCGGCCACACTGACCAACGTTAGTGTGGTCTGAAAAGAAGGACACATGCAGGAACATAGATATGTATAATAAAGGCCAGATGTCTTAAGGCGAAGTGTTGAACGTCATCACCGGCGGCCATCTTGCCATGACAAGCTAACCTGTGGTAGGAGAAGGAAGGTGAGCGATCTGCACAAACGTAAATACTCTTGTCTTGCTGACATCTTGACGGATTTACAAACGGCTTGGTTTCTTACAAACGTTATTAACGTGGCTACAATTCAAATTATGATGATATATAACGATGCATAATATATATAATAATGATCCCAAACGTTTGACCGGAAGTGTAACATAATTGCCCATAAGTGCAGTGTTATAACTACACCTCCGACGTTTATTACAAACCAAACAGTTTGTAAATTGGTAGACAATTGAGCAAGTTATGGTTATTTAAAAAGTACATACACCAGACAACACAATGTTACGGGTGAGCTGACTGTGGCAAGATGGCCGCCAGTGTACTTAGACATTTTTTGCTCCTAGCTGGAGTCTCACTCTTCAGTTTTTTTTTACCTCTGTCTTTCAGTTCTTGTGAATTTTACAGCTTTTCAAATAATATTCCTGTGATATGTTATTTTTGTGGTGAGATACGTTGTCGTAGAGTCTGATTCTGGTATTAACTCATTTTCAACCACATGTGTAATGACTACATTTAGGCATCGTAGGGCAGTACAGCATCATTCACGTTACCACTGTGGCCTTGTGTTGGAGGTTCCTCTTCTCATGTCCTACATATCTGTCATCCACCAAAGATGGAAAATAGTCATAAATACTAAAAAACAATCATACACAAATGGTGCTAAACCTGTGTGTCTGTTTCCAGTTCATCCCCATGCCTGTGCTCTACGGAGTCTTCCTGTACATGGGGGCCTCGTCGCTCAGAGGCATTCAGGTGAGCTTCAGCACAACCTGCTGGTGTTTTATTAGAATTAGCAAACAATCAAGAACAGAGTGAACGTCTGTCTCTTTGTACCTGCGCAGTTCTTTGACCGTCTCAAGCTGTTCGGCATGCCAGCCAAACATCAGCCAGACTTCATCTACCTTCGCCACGTCCCGCTGAGGAAAGTGCACCTCTTCACCATCGTTCAGCTCACCTGCCTGGTCCTTCTGTGGGTCATCAAGACGTCCAAGGCTGCCATCGTTTTCCCCATGATGGTAACTTGAGTGTGTTGTTTATGTTTTCTGCTTAACAGATCCGTTTGCTTGAATGTGTCTGTTTGTGTCTCCAGGTCTTGGCCCTGGTATTCATTCGTAAGCTGCTGGACTTCATCTTCACCAAGAGGGACCTGAGCTGGCTGGATGACCTCATGCCAGAGTGGAAGAAGAAGAAATTGGAGGATGCTGCGGAAGAGGTTCAGTCATAGACCACAGCTTAGATGACCAGTGATGTCTTTACATCTGTGCAGCTGCAGCAGATATTCTCTTTTGTTTTCTGTCTTCAGGAGGAACACAGTATTATTGCAGAGGAGGAGGGCATTGTACAGGTGCCACTAGAGGGACACTACAAGTAAGTCATCTACATTTTTATTCATATTCTGCATGCTGGGGTGTTTTGTCAGATTCTAAGTAGGAGAGTCTACCTGCAGAATAAATCTTCAACAGGACACTAGATTTCATTTCATAGAAACTTCAATCAAACTGCATTTACTGGAGAACAGAGAGGCTAAATACAGAAGAAATGCTGAATCCTCCTCAGCGTGGAGGAGTGCAGCAGTGTTGCACAGACTTTAGGAGAGATGTTCTGCCATTCTTCAGAGGCTATTTTTTCAGCTGCTCTTTGCTGCAGGGGTTGTGTTGTTCCACCTTGTTGTATGAAATACCCCACAGGTGTTCTATTAAATTCAAGTCAGGCGACATACTCGGCCTCGTTATGGCTTTCACTTTTTAGAAAACCATATGATTTGTGTGATTTTGTCAGTGTGCCAGAGGTTCGTGCTGAAAATATTTTCTTCTATGAAGCTTTTACAGACTCGGAGTCGTACTGTGAGCCAGTATTTTGGTGTATCTACAGGCATTCATGGTGCCATCTATAAATGTCATCACCTGTTGCACTCATGCAGCCCCATCCCGTCACACTCTCATCTCTTTGCTTCACTGTCGGGACCATGTGTTCACTGTGGTAGTCCTTGCTAGGTTCACTCCATCTGAGCCACAACTTTAACTTGGTCTCATTTGATCAAAGAATGTGCTTGAATATCCATTCATTTATTCTAGCAAAGTGTCATCTTGTAGTTTTGTACTGAAGAGCTTACAAGTACGTTCTTAGGCGTCTAGGCTGGTACTGGTACGCTCAGTTTTGTTTCATTCATCACTTCATTCACACATTTCTAACTTGTGTGCCAGTCATCACAGATAAATTAACTTTTAAGAGGCAAACAAAGGTAAAGTCAAAGAGGCCAAAAAAACTAAAAAACATACAAGCCAGAAAGTTATTCAGCCTTAGTTCCACTTGTACAATTTTGAGTGTGTTTTAAAATGATTTTAGTGACGTCATCCAAATCATCTGAGCTATAAATTGCTGTTTTTGTAAATAACTGAAGATTTTGTCTTCAAAAAATAAATTTAAAAAAATTTATTTTAAGCGCAACTTCAGCTGGCACACAACTGAAATAAATGTTTAGTTATTTCGCTGTATAATAATAAATAAGTTTGTCAGTGTTCTTGTGGCAGATACAGATCAGGGATGATTCTCATTCTCCTACGACAGTCAAATAAGGCCGTTCTCTCTGTGATGTGTGTCTGAAGGAGTGACCCAGCCACAGTGAACATCACTGATGAAATGTCCAAAGGATCTTTCGGGAATGTCTGGAAGAGTGTCAGCCCTGCTGAGAGCGCTAAAAAGGAACCAAGCGCTAAAAGGTGAGCGTCAGACTCACAACACTCAGATGTCCACGTCAGTATCTACGGCAACAGTTGACGTATTGATTCCAGATCCCTGAATGTGTTTCAGCACGATTCAAACTCTAGTTCAAAAGGGTGTTAAAGCAGCAGTGGCAGGTGTTTATTATTGAAACATTATGGTACATTTACTTTACATTTTTCCAAGAAACTCAAGAGCTATTCTGTTTATTTAGAACAGCCCTGCCCTCGCAGGCTTCCTACTGAGTAGACTAACATAGTGTCTCCTGCCTGCCTCTCTCGCTCCATCCCACCCCTAAGCTCCCCTTCCTAACCTCTCAGAAGCTGATATCCCAAAGGTAAGCTGTTCCCAGTCGTCCCTTTCAGCATGGACGTTCTCGTTCTGTGTGTTTACTGTTGCACGTTGAAAATGATGTCGGTCTGTGCTGCATGTCACGATTTGGGTGATGGGACTTGGTACATGTAGTAATAAATCAGTTATAAATGGATGGATTGACAACACAGCATGGTCTGGATGTGCATGTTAATTCAAGGATGTGTTTTATAATGCCGAATGTGGCCTTTGCATGTTGTAAAATG